TCAACATATTTGTAAGTCAAAGTGTGTAGGTAAACAACAACCCTTTTTACCGGGTAAGTTGTTGATCCTCTCTCTCATTGATTTGATGATAATCTCTTTTACCTTTCAAAGTGTTATGTTTTTGTTCTTTCAGTTCCAGCGATCGTCTCTGAGTTTGTTCAGTAATCGCTGAAACATGTATTGTAAATCCTACAACGACATCGATACTTCAAGAAGAGAAAACTCATACCAAAGAACCTTCAGTGAAAGTCGAAGACTGGAACTGAAGATTAGTGACTGGCGCGTTCATGAGTTGAAGCGGTATTCAGTGATTACAACCTGGTCAACATATGTGTGAAGACTACTTAAGCCTCAGCGAATGCTGAAGACACCTTCAGTGTTATTCCAGCATTCAGCGATCAAATGAAGCTTGTTGTGCAAGATTGTTTTTGTCTCGTCCTTCCACACACAAAGGACAAACCCATACTCTTTGTAGAGTAGAGTATAGCACGGAGCCGACTGTTCGAGTCTAATGCCCACCAACTCTACGAAAGGATAGTTGCTCATGAATAGACAATTGTACTATTAACTGTAGCAAAGGACAAACTTTCCTCCTAAATCTTGACGTGTGTTCAAACCTGTCTAATTTGCATGTAATGCAATGGGTAAAACTAGATGAGTGCTCTCTTCATGCAGAGAACACACGCATATACACACACATCTAAAAGAACACTTGCGCTTATCTTCAAGCAAGTTAGAATCCCTCTCAAGAATTCTAAAGTTCTTATCCAAGAAGAACATCTTTCTGTCTTTGTCTTTTCAGCAAATCTTTTCTATTCTGCTAAGTATATATATGTGTAAACTTAGATTGTTTTAGATAGGTTATCTTTACCTTGTCTATTTCCGCAAACAATCTGCAAAATCTGTATTGATCTTTCTCTATCAATATATATTTTTAAATACGAAAGTTTTCTATGTTTGTATTCATCCCCCTCTTTTGCAAACTGTTCGTCTAAAACTCTTGTAGACTCGGCTGGGACCAACAAGTGGTATCAGAGTAGTGTTTTCTTCTCGTCTTGTTTAGTTGTTTATCTACATTTTATAATATCTCTCTCTCTCTAGATAATTTATTGCTTTTCAAATGGCTTTGCAAAACACAAGCACAAACTTTCATGATAATGGCTCTCTTGCTAAACCTCCTCGATTTATTAGAGATAACTTTAGTCTCTGGAAAAATTGGATGTCTCTTTTCTTGGAAGGTATGGATCCTGAGATCCCACATTATATAGAAAATGAACCTTATGTTCCATATGCTATATCTCCGGGTGTTACTGAAACAACTATGACTGCCGCGATTTCTGAACAGCAGATTCCTAAGCTCCCTCATTAGTGGAGTGATAAAGACAAGAAGAAGATAGCTATAGATACTCGTGCGAGATCTATAATAGCTATGTCTCTTCCTGACGTTTTGAACAATTAAGTTCTTGAACTATTTTTTTAAATGAAAAAACCATTAAACTTTCTCATTTTGAACGATTAAGTCCATGAATTATTATTTTTTAATGAAAAACCATTAAACTTTCTCATTTAAAATGATAAGTTCCTAACATATTTTTGAATAAATTAACCATCGAACTTCTAAAACTTGGTTACCTACATCTTTTAATTAAAAACAAACTACGTGTTATAATTGAATATGAATGTTTTAAAGTAAAAACAAACCTAAATCAGTTTTATATGTTCAAACCATACGCCATTAAAATCCCTCGCAAACAAACATTATCGTTCCCCTCGCCACTTCCCATTGCCCAACATTGTTCGTTATTCATATCGCCTAACACGCTTTTGGCCCCTGCCATTGATCTTCCTATTTTTGATCTACTTGTCATCTATTGAAAGATAACTAGTTATAAGTAGCTTTATTTGGGTTAAAAGAATATACGTAACCAATTTTTAAAAGTTTGATAGTTTAATTTACTAAAAAAATGATAAGGACTTAATCATCCAAAATGAAAAACTTTAATGTTTTTTCATTCAAAATAAGAAAGTTTAATGTTTTTTTCATTTAAAAAATAGTTCAAGGACTTAATCACTCAAAATAAGAAATTTTAATGGTCTTTTTCATTTGAAAATTAATTCAGAGACTTAGGGTTGTTTACTAGTAGCTTATCACCTCTTACCGGCAAAAATCTCTTACTGGGGTAAGAGGCGCTAGTATTTACCAATAAGAAAAACTAACAATCATCTCTGATCATCACCATCAGAGAGGAAATTGTATCTTACCCTGGTAGGAGGTCAACTTTCACTTATTTACCCTCTCCAAAACCTAAACCTGCTTTCTTTCTTTCTCCGTAGCTGTCTTCAAGCAATGCTCCATTACACAATCATCTTCTTCCTCCACAAATATTGAGATAAAACACTTCAATAGAGACGAGATCGAGAGACTCAACCAGGGAGGGGGCTGCTTTCTTTACGTGATTACATTTGATTAAAATACACAGAAGCCAAACATGGAGATACAAGTTAAAGAACACAAAAAACACAAATCAGGGCTTGTTGGGTTTTTATACCATAGTGGTGCACATGGGATGCTTTCTTTTCTTTTTCTTTCTTTCTCCATTATTGATTGTGTGAGCTCGAGACCATCAGATCAGTTGAAAGCTATCTTTATTGCTTAGGGACATGTCTAGGTTGAGGACCATGAGTAGGCTTATAGGCTGAATGGGTGATGGGGAAGATTGATTAATTCAAATTATATCATTTGTCTTTATAATTTTTTCCCTCTATGTATGTTCTTTGTCGACATTGCAACATCCTCGTCATTCTCATCTTCTGATTATGCTTTTTTTCTTATTTTTTTACCATCTTTTTCTGTTTCTCTATCATTGAGTTCATTTAATATATTTTTATTTTTTGATATTGTACCCATTCAACAACAGTAGGATATTTGGAAGTAGGATATTTGGAAGGAAAAGCGGATGGTTCTAAAGCACATGGTATTTGGAAAAATGTCAAAAAAACACAAATTCAAACATAAGGGTATAATAGTCTTTTTATTCAATCTATGCTTGATATAAAAATTTGATTTGGTTAGACAATATGTGGTTGGTAAAGAAGAATGTGGGGCTATTTACAACTATCTAATAATTCTTTGTCTTTGCACTTGTGGGTCAATCTCCGTCCGACCCGAGTAATTTTCAGTAAGTACTTATCACAGCCAGACCTTTTACCTCAATCAGACCTCTTACCCGAGTCAGTATTTACCCACAGATTTTGGTAAACAACCCTTAATCATCGAAAATATGTGTAACACTCCAAACTTCCACATTTGCATATAACATGTACTTCATATAAAAATTTACACCACAAAGGTCCCACTAGTACAAGAATTCTATATACAAAATTTATAACTCAAAAATTCCAAAAGAAGAGCCTGCGCTAACACATGTATAACAATATATGTATCACAATATATGTATCTTCAAAATATATCATTCAACAGGTTGGTCTCCAAACATCAGATAAGCACATTAAGAAAATAATTATATTTTCCCCTTCCCCTTAATATCCCGACACCCTTCTGTTCCTGCAATGCATATTTTAAAAACACGTAAATGAGGGTTAGACCAGGAGGTCTAGTGAGATACCATTGTTTTGCAATTATAGGGTGAAGATCATCAAAACCTGTTTGAAATGCATATTTAAAATAACCAACCACTTCTTATCAAATATAACTTCAGTAAACAAAACGGCAAGTTATAAAACAATCTTACCACATAAGAAGATTAATCACTCAGGTGATAAATATTTGTAATACAACTTTCAAGCTCACAAGTCACAACTGATTCAGAGCTTATGGTATCAATCCCCATGGTTATGGAAGAGTAATAATAAATAACAACCACCAGAGTTTTTGGTTATTATCAAAAACTTTTAATTTAAAATAAGAACTTGAAAAAATAATAGCCAACAACCTTACAGGTTTTATTTCAAATCACTACTCTTAAAATACTTGGAATATGGTTTCATACTAGAAGAGACTTATGTCACACACGTCCTGGAAAAAAACCTAGTTCCATAGCATAACAGACTTACGTCACACACGATCTGAATGAACATTTCTCAAATCAGTATTTCTTTCAAAACAGACTTATGTCACACACATCTTGAAAGAAAAAAACATCAGTATCTTTTCTCGATTCACAAATCTCATTTTAAAGATACAAAATACCCTCTTCTAAAATAATAAACAGTTTAAGACTTTCTAAACAATATTTATAAAATACCATTATTAAATAACATAAGTTTTAGGCAAAATCCCCTTCATCGGCCAACACCGTGACCGATGAACCCTCCTCATTGGTCCTGATCGGTCAACCCTTCTCACCACCATCTTATGCATGAAAAATAAACAAACACTCACATATTAATCTCATGTAAGCATGTATTTACATGATTAATTAAAGCAATTAATCAGATATTCATATAATCACATAATCAAGTAATCACATAACAATTATATGAGGTGCATAACCATGTCATCACACTATGATAGTTTGTTGTATGTTTTTGAATTTTTTCTAAAAGAAAATGTCTTCCACATCTCTTTATCCTATTAAAACAATAGTATAGAAAAGAAAGGAAAACTACATGTCATAATATGGAAGGTAACTGGTGAAAATTTTCCAAACCGTGAGATGTTTTCGTCAGTCAAAAGTTGTATGGTGGATACGGTAAAAGTTGACAGCAGAAAAATGAGGACAGGGCAACCCTATCCCTTTGAATTTACAAAAATACCCCAAACCATTCCATATACCACAAGGGCATATTTGTTATTTTAAAATTTGCTTCATTTTGTGGTAAAAAGAAATTACGGACATCCGCAACTAAATGCGGTTTTCTTGAAAAGAAATAGCAGAAAAAATCGTTAAACAAGTGGCTCTTCACTGTTGACAGCATAAGAACTTTTTTAACACTCATCATCTTCACTCGCACATAGAGATACATCACTTGTGTCTCTAATGGAACATACACGTTGCGTCCTCCGTACAATCATCCTCATTGTTATATATGTCTCGGCTGTTCATGGCAGCAGCCGCCGCCACCACCGAAGACTGTTGTTGGACGCCAGAGATGCTACTACACTCGTTTCTGACCCATCTCTAAGTTTCGAAAACGTACGAATCAGAAATGCCTACATCGCTTTACAAGCATGGAAGGAAGTCATCGTATCCGATCCACATGGTGTCACCACCAATTGGGTCGGATCTGATGTCTGCAACTACACAGGTGTTTTTTGTTGGGAAAGCATTGACAACCCTAAAGAACGCACTGTGGCCGGAATTGACCTCAACCACCAACATTTGGCCGGCCACCTCCCGGACCACCTAGGCTTGTTGTATGATCTAGGTCTCTTTCATATTAACTCAAATCGGTTTTGTGGGAAACTTCCAAAAAGTTTCTTGAACTTCAAGATACTTACGGAGCTTGATCTAAGCAATAACCGGTTTGTCGAAAACTTTCCTCAGTTTGTTTTGGAACTCCCAAACCTCAAGTATCTTGATATTCGGTTTAACGAATTTGAAGGTAAGCTTCCTGAAGAACTTTTCAGCAAGAATCTCGATGCTATACTTGTAAATAACAATAGGTTTTCATCTAACATACCGGAAAACATTGGGAGTTCACCGGCCTCGGTGATTGTTCTTGCGAACAACAAGTTTACCGGATGTGTTCCTTCGAGTGTCATGAATATGTCTAAGACATTGAACGAGTTGGTACTGAGAGACAACGGACTCGACGCTTGTATTCCTGAAACAATTGGGAAGTTGAAGAATTTAACTGTGTTAGATTTGAGTGATAACAGGATAAAAGGTGAGTTGCCAGTGAGTATCGAGGAAATGGTGAGCTTGGAGGATTTGAATGTGGCTCATAATATGTTATCAGGAAAGATTTCTGAGAGGTTGTGTTTGCTTCCTAATTTAGAGAACTTTAGATATGAATATAACTTCTTTGTGAATCAAAGTGATAATTGTTCGAAACTGGCCGATTTTAATGATAGAAAGAATTGTTTTGGAGGGAGGCCAGACCAAAGATCGAATTCGCAATGTAAATTGTTCCTTTCTCGACCATCGAATTGTAGCGCTTTCACGTGTAACCAGCCACCACCGGCGTTCTCCCCTCCTCCCGTTGTTCCACCACCGACAATGCCTATTTCTCCACCAACATCGCCATCATCTCCGCCAACAAAACCTCCATTACCATCACCATCACCATCATCTCCGCCAACACTTGCTCCATCACCATCACCATCACCATCACCATCACCATCATCATCACCATCACCATCACCATCACCATCATCTCCGCCACGAATGGCACTTCCTCCTTCACCCGCACCCTCATCTCTACCAGTACCAACACCTCCATCACCATCTCTAGCACCATCACCATCATCGCCTCCACCACGACCACGACAATTACCATCACCAACCCCAACATCCCAACCATCTCTACAATTACCATCATTATCACCAACAACATCATGTGACGAATCAAAACTTCCACAATCTCCACCTTCGTAAGAAGAAAACCATTTCTAAAGCCCACCTTCACAAGTTCACAAATTTCCACTTACGCTTCTCAAATCTTCCGGCTACTTTTGTACCTTAAACACAAAGTAACTACAAATCCAAGTCTGCAATGCAATTTTCCAGACAGCACGAACAGTACTAATCAGACAATCCGGTGGAGAACTTACTGTCAAAGATCCAACCTGATATATATATACATATATATATATATATATTGAAGAAACTCAAAGGTGATTAAAACTCCAACATACGAACAAGGATGTGTGTTTCTTTCATGTTTCATTGAATTTTATCTACTTTTATCAATAGTTAATAAGAGGATCGTCAAATGCAGAACAAGATAGAAGTATATATAGAATGGGAATGTAAGTAGTATCGAAGAGTTTGTTTCCTGAATCACTTGCTCGTTAATTTTTTAATTTCATAATATTCTTTAATATGTTATATATCTCCCCTCATCCGAAACCCTGTGGTTGCTTATTTCATTTGCTAATCTTGTTCATGTTATAAATATAACCCTACTCGATCGGTTCATGAACATGAACTGAAGCCTATTGTCACTACCAAAAAGGACACTTTTTCCGGCGGCAATATCTGCTGGAAATCCGCCGGAAACAGTGATTTCCTGCGGATTTCCGGCAGATATTGCCGCCAGAAAAAGTGGCGCCAGTGATCGTTTTTTCGGCGGGAAAAGCGGCGATTTTCCTCTTTTTCAGCGGATCCGGCCGCCGGAAATTCCTCACCGATTTATTTATGAAATCTTGATTAAATTAAAAAACTGGTTAAGTATTTTTTTTAAAAAATAATTTAATTTACCGGCGTAATATTCCGCCGGAAACATTTCTCGTCGGAAAAGTATTAAACTTTTCTAAAAGAATATATATTTAATTTTAAAAAAATACCGGCGGCTATTTTCGCCGGAAATCCGCCGGAAAGAATATATATATATATATATATATTCTAAATTTATTTTTATTTTTTTAAATTTATATTAGAAACATTACCGGCGGACAAATCCGCCAGAAAAGATATATTAATATTAATATTTTAAATTTATTTTAAAATTAATATTTAAAACCTGTAAATCTGTACAATATTAAAAATGAAACTAAAAAGGCGAAATAGAACTAAATATTATACATTAAAGTGAAACTACAATTATTCCAACCAAACAAAAACTAAATTCTTATAAACAAAACTAAATTGTTTCAAAGCAAAAGACAATATTCAAAATGGTGGTGGCGGGGGGAAATGTTGAGATTGACTGAGCTGTCTAACCCAAGCAGCCACATGTTGAAGTTGTTTATCCTGTTGCTCCTCCCTTTGTCGTCATCGCTCCGCCTCCACCCGCTGTCGCTCCTCCTCCACCAAACGTCGCTCCTCCGCCGCCCGCCATCGCTCCTCCTCCGCCATCCGTTGGTGCTGACTTTGTTCCTGTAAGTCTCTAAGTTGGGTCTTTAAGGTTTGAATTTCCTATAAAATAAATAAAACGTTATAATATTTAATATGAATTATAAACTAAGTCAATAAACATCATCAAAGAAAAAGAGACACATACGTGCTTATCTGAAGACGATGAACCACCTTCCGTGTAGTTCCCGGTCAAGACACAATTAGGATCTTGGTTGTACTCAAACCCAAATAAACGGTCTTTCTTGCTTCCCCCAACCGCTTGCTCCCACAACTCCTTATCAACTAAGGGATAGGTGGATGTATCATTGTCGTATCTTTGGCTGAGACCAGTTGAATACTCATCCTATATATAGTTTAAAAAAGAATGCAAGTCAATTTTGACAGCATAACGGCTGTAAATGGGACGTTTCCAAAACAATCCTAACGTTTGCCCAATAAATGGCAACTCAAACTAAATAATGACATATATGTAATTTCTAACTTAAACAATCCTAATGTTTGCCCAACAAATGGCAACCCAAACTAAATAATGATATATATTTAAAATCTAACTTAAACAATCATAATGTTTGCCCAACAAATGGCAA